CTACAGCCTAAACAAACTGTAGCAGATATAACATTTGACAGCGCATACCTCCACCAGCACAGGAACAATCCCCCAAGTCCAACCCCCTAACACTCCCCCACCCCCCTCCCTTACCCATTCCACTACCCCGCTTCCCTCGCGGTGAGTGTGTCAGCTAGTGGCGTTTTCCTGAGGGGAACCAGCACAGACACGGAGGGCACTGCTGCCCTGCAGCACCACGCTTTTCCCAGGACACCCCCACACTACCCTCACACGCTTCTCCCTTTATCCCCACTCACGCTGCCCGCTGACGGAAATAGAGTGTTGGCACCGCCCTCGCTTGGGCGAAGCCGACGTAGTGGTCAGGTGCGCGGGAGGTGCGGCAAACAGTTTTGCAGAGGTCGACATCGAGCTGGCGTGCATGTTGGCAAGGTGGTCGACCTACGGGCGACCGCTGCAATGCCGCCGTCGATGGGAGCCGGCGGCCTACTTCGATAAAAAGGTCGTCGACCTATGCGAGTCCGTCAGAGACGCCGTCGACGGTGTGGTTCGACGGCAGCAGCTGACCGTGCTGGTCACCTGCGAATGCAACACTGGCAGATCGCTCAGCAGCAGCGTTGGCGGGCCGCCCTGTCGCAGCGTTGGCAAGCCGATAAATTGCTCTGTTGGCAGGTCGCTCTTCCGCAACGCTGGCGCGATGCCTCTACGCAACGCTGGCAGACTGTCGACCGTGCTGCACTGGTTGTCGACCGAGCTTGCTTGCTAGGTTGCTAGGCTCTGTTGTTGTCATTCTTGCCATTGTTTGTTCAATCATTATGTAATTCCAACTTTTCTACTGAAACTCTTGCCAATTCTTCCATGAAAATGCTGGTGCTAGAGAGCACAGGCAAAGCTACGATCACGTACACAACTCGTGCCAACCCCACAGTCTAGCTCCCACCATTGTAGAGTGAATCTCTGCACCTCCCTCACCCCCCATACGCTTCTACGCTCACTGCTTACCTCGCATGGCATTCGCACATGGCTGCTGTCAGCCAGGGGGAGACGGTCCGCCCTCTCCCGCGCCTACCCTCTCTCCCACCCTCTATGGCGTTGAAACGTGGCTGCTGCCCGCCGTGGTGATGTTAAGCGGTAGCTACCAGCCTAGGGGGCATGGGAGCAACATTCCGAAGGGCAGGGAGGGCACTGGTTGCCAACCATGGGGCACGGTCTTCTCAATCCCCCCCACACCTTCTCCCGCTCCTCCCATCCCCTCTCCCCCCCAGATTCCTTACTCTCCCTCACCTGGTATGGTGATGGCATGCAACGGCTACCATCCCAGGGGCAACGGTAGCAGCATTCTCCCCTAGTACACAGCAAGCCCGCTCCCCACATCGCCACCTGTAACGCCCCGCTATACCATTGGGCCAGAACGGTGATTCTTCATAGGCGCAGCGGATGCGTTTGCACCCTTCGTGAGCGCCAGCAGGCATTAGACTCGTCCTTCCCAACCCCCCCCAGCGGCCCCCACCCCCTGCACCCGCTGGCTTCCTTACTCCTGTACAACTTGCATGGCGTTGACAGGCAGCAACTGTGAGTGTAACGCGCGACCTATCTAACCATCTAACAAACCCCCCCTAGTCAACGTCGAGAAGAGTCTCGACAGGAAATTAGACTACGAGGGTTGGGTTGGTTAGATTGGGAAGGATTGTTGGTTGAGAAATTCCAACCCTCAAATTTGAGGATTGGGGATTTTCCAACCCAACCAAATAAGATTGAAATGTTGGATTTCCAACCAATCAGAATTTGACAGTTGTTGAATCAGAACGAGAAAAGGGCAGAACTGCTCTATGAGTAATGATTTGGGAGGATGATTAAACGCGGGTTGTATGATGTATGGCGGGTTAAGGGCAATTTGCAGGTACATTATGCTATGGTGAGAGAGGGGGAGACGGGGGAGAGGGTTGACAAAAGCATGAGTAAGCGATAAGCATAGGACAGAGGTGAGGAGACAGAGGTGGTCCTGACAAGTAGGCGTAATCAGGTGGTGAGAGGAGGGGGTGATGAATCACCCGCCATCGTTTAAGCAAAACATATTTATGGTATGTGCAGGGGAGGGAGGAAAGGGGGTTGGGGGAGGTGGGAGAAAAAGAGTAGGGTGAGGGTTATTTGTTTGAGATTCGAAAAGCGCCCCTAAATTCGGATGTTGAGAAGATGGGGGTGACGGCTGACATTGTAGCAAGTGAGGGGGGGTGGGGGGTGTGAGAGAAGCGGGAGGAAGCAGGGCCTCTTGCTTCTCCAGTGCCAGCTTGTGTTTTCTGGTCCCGGCGTGCTTGCGAAAGGCCTGCGTCTGGACGTCGGTAGCACCTTTGCCTGTCCTGCCACAACGTCCCCTGACACCGGCGTGCTTAGTGCAGAGACTGCATTTGAAAGCAGGCAGACCACGAACAGTTTTGGTAAGTACAAGCCATGGGAAACGCTCATGCCACTTGGTTTTGTACTTATCCAGTGCCTCGGCATATATGGCATCAACAATATCCTGAACGTTGATGTCCAGAGAAGGGCGCACGGTGGTTTCGTTGACAACAACTTCCGAGACTGGGACGCTGGATGATGGCTTCCAGAAACTCAGCTTCTGTTGCTTGAGCTTGATTGTGCGCGGTGCTGACGACTTTGACGCCGACGTGCCGTTGTGAACGGTGTCGGAAACACCAGGCGGCACGGGAGGGATGGCCCGGATTGAATCCGGGCTTGAAGGCACGTCCGGGTTCTCCGCCACTTTAGGAACCGGACCGGGTGCAGTGGGCGCTGGAGGTGGTAGTTGGCGGCCTAAAGATCTTAGCAGAAGATCTAGCCCCGTACAGGCTTCTTCGATGGCGTCGCTATCGGCGTCGTCTAAATCGGCGTCACCCTCGTCGTCTGAAAGGCCGGCGCCATGGCCAGCCATGGCGGAACAGTTACGAGAGCAAGCCGAGCACTGAGAGAGCGTGCACAGCACTGAGAGAGCGTGCCGAGAAAGCGCTGGTGCTAGAGGCGAAACAAGTGAAACCCTAGCGAGGTTGGGTGTGGGACGGGGGATTCTAGCAGCTATCTGGGGTTATGCAAGAAGGAGCTGGTGATGGTGAAGCGGGATTGGTTGGCAGGCTTACTGTGCCATGATGCAAGGCGGCACAACCCAATGGAATCATGCAGAAACCAGGTTGCAGCTTCGAGGTGGGTGAGGTGGGGGGGTTTTCTAGTCGCGCGGCAACCATTTTGTGTTGCTGTACTGCTGTAACGTGCGTGCGTGGTGCCGCGCTGTTGACATTCCATTCGCCACTGGTTGATGTGATCGCACTAACATCCAATCACGGGCGAAGTTGCCTTTGCGACCTAACAGCAGTGGTGCGAAAGTTCGGGAATGGTGCCATTCCCAGATGCGTTGGCAAGGAATCTTGCCATTTCGGCGTGATTGACGGAGGGACGGTTGAACAGTTGCATCTAGACATCCGAAATTCAGGGCCTAAACCCGGATCTCCATTAGAGGGATTTCAGCCCAGCCCTCCGATACAAGTCTGATGAGACAGCGCACACGACAGGAAAAAAACGGATATTTCAGCACAGACAGTTAAAAAAAAACTGAAATCACAGCATACACACAAAAAAAAGCTGCCACAACAGCCCAACGTCTCCCCAAACGGCTGAAATCACAGGCTTTTTACCCCTAATCAGCCTTTTTTCGCTGACTTCTGAGGGCCTGGCAATGATAGTTTTAACGCTGATTTTTCAGTTTGCCTTAAAAATTCAAACTGGAAAAATCAGCATACATTTAACCCCCAACACTGATTTGGTTTAAAGTTTAAAATTATATATTGGTCTTAACCAATTCCAACGCTGATTTGGACACAACTTTGGACACTGCACACTGATCGATCAGCATGCCCTGAAACCAATCTGAGGGCTCCAAAATGTTGTTAGAAATGTCAATGTCCAGCGTCCAATGGTCTAGTCAGTACATTCGGGACTAAGAAGATTTAGATTTCGGGTTCGAATCTTGTCGCCTGATTCTGTCAGATAGGTGCGGTCATCCTTCTTGTCTGCTTATATTTCGCCTCAATACTTCTGACGAGAAAATACTCGATGTCTGCAGTCTCAGACAAAATGTATGAGGCTGCCTGAGAAATCAGATGAATAGAAAAAGCTTCTCTGAAAAATCAGATGAAATTAAACATGTCTACGACCAGGGCCCAAAATTGGTTTAGGCTTACCCTTACGAATCAGGGTACTAGCCCCTCCTTAACCAGACCCCTAGGGTAAATTTTTTCATACCATGTTTTCAGCAGGGTAAATCTACCACTAGCCTGATTTGAGCAGGGTAGTTTTAGGCTAAGCCTGTTTTTGTATCTATATTGTGAGTTAACTTATTTTTAATGACATACACAAGTAGCACATTCAGAGTCCATGAAGTCTACACACGCAACACATGTACTAAACACCTACTCAGTTCCACCCCCACTGCCTACATCTTCTTCTACAAACTGGGTCTGCGAAGCCCGGGTGGGGTCAAACTCCTTGGTGGATCACCTCAGCTTCTCTCCACGAAAGATGGCGACCACCTCAAACCAGTCGACCTCGTACCGCAGCAGGGAGCAACGCATCAGATGCTCCAGGCTTGTGTCGCCTAGGCTGCCGCGTCCCCAAGTCTTGATTAGATTCTGCTTTGAGAAGCCGCGCTCGCATTCAACCGTGCTCAGTGGCAGCACGGCGACTGATTGCCACATCCGCATGATGTTGGGGAAGGAGACACGCCATGCATCATCCCGCAGCATGTTCGTCAGCGCCTGGTGAAACTCTTCGTTGTTGTGCTGGGAGAACATTGTGGATATAAACATCCACAGCTCTTGCTGGACTCTCTTGTAGTCAAACCCTGTGGTGGGGCGGGGTTGGGGTGAAAGCTTGGCCGATGCTCGCAGACACGGGTAGGAATGAGGGCATTAGTCCAACAAGCATCGGACAGGTTTCCGTGCACGGGTTAACCTCAATGCGTAATTAGTTGAGACATCTCACGTCAGAAGTTTTGCTATCGCTGCACAAGGCTTACCTGGCAACTTGTTGTGGTACAACTTGTGCAGCTGGCCGAGCCACTTCTTAAAAGTTTCCACGCGCTTCGTGTCGTCGGGCATGTACGAAGCTGTGCGAAACAGCTTCGTACCTTCCAGCAGCTGCAGGTCGCGCATCCGCCACTCCAGCTCTTTGTCAATGGCGCGCACGTACTTGATCGACAGCTCGACGCACGCCGTGACATCGCCATCCGTTTCATGCCCTGGCAGCGGGCGCTCGTGCAGCGTGAATTGAAACGTGACGGGATTCCCCTCCCCGTCCACGCCCTCCGCCTTCATCTCCCGCTTATCCTTCGCCTGGTGCCTCTGAATGAACTCGGGAAGCTGCATTTTCTCCCCGCTGCCGAAATGGTGTGAAGGGTCACGGAGGGAATACCGCCTCTTCAGACGTATCCTTGTCTGCTGCACGATGTGCGCAACAAGGGTAACATCCACCTGCACCAGGGCATGAGAAGGAGTCAGGTAGTGCACGAGAAGGCTTGCAACCACATAAACGACAGCGACAAAGGCGCTTACCTGCCGCTGCTGGAAGCGCTGGTTGAGGCAGTTTAGTTCCCACAGCACATCCGCAAGAAAGCGGATGAGCCAGTGGAACTTGAACGAGGTAACCACCTTGTACAGTTCCGCCTTGTAATCCTTCAGCACCACTATGGCAGCAGGGAGCACGTCGAGCAGGCGCTGGATCGCTTCACCACGGACGAGCCAGCGGGTATCGCTAATCCCCTGCGCCTCTAGATTCGTCTGGCAGAATATCCGCTGCATCTCTTGAAACTTCTGGTAGTCCACGCTGCTGCGGCCGATGTGGTCAGCGAAGGCGCGCACGAAATCGTCAATCATTAGCAGCTCAGGTACCTCTTCAGCAGCATCACTAGCAGTGAGTGCCTCCCTGTACATAACGGCACGCAGACAGAGGGTAAGTCCATGGAATCTCATGTAATAAATGCAGCACGGAGCAGCAAAACGGTGACGCATACCGGTGAGCGATACAATGTGTTGAGGCGAGATGCGGAATGCGCATTCGCAGCCGTGTCACAACTCCGCGGTTCTTGCCGACCATCACGCTGGCACCATCAGAGGCGACGCTGGAGATCTTCTGGAGGTCGACACCGATACCTGTGAGATACTGCACGACAGCCGACGTGAGTGAGGCACCGTCACAGCAGTCAACAGTAATAAGAGTTAAGAACTCTGTAACCACCGTGGTGCGCTGGAAGAACGTGGTGTAAAGAATGAGATGCTTCCCATGCACCCGGTCCGTGCTCTCGTCGAGGGAGATCCCTATCCATGGGGATTCAAGCAGGTGCAGACGTTGTGTTTCTTGAAGGTATGTTGAGAGTGCGCGCAGGTTTTCCTTGAATCCGTAACTGCCAGGGGGAAACACAGGTTGTCAAATCACAGAGTGCATAATACTGAGTACACCAGTTTCACATACACTTGCCACCACTTACTCTGTGTAGTACGCGCCGTAGCCGCCACCGGGAGGAAGGTCTGGTAACCACTCCTTCGCCAGAAACCAGCACAGCGGGACGAACATCGCTATGGGTGCGTCGGCCTTGCAGACGAAGAGGGCGATGTGGAGGAGCCGAATGATGTGACGGGTGGAAGCGTCCGTGGCCTGCCACCGAGTGAGTGTGGCCTGCTTTGCCTTCTCCGCCTCCGCCTTCTCCTGATTCTCCACCGCGTTCTTGTGTGCACGGGTCGCGGAGTGAGTGCGGATGCTGCCAATCTGGAGATCCCGCGCACCCTCACCCTTCGCCCCATACGCGGTGTGCGCTAGTGGATCTCCGTGCTTCACACAAATGGTACACTTCAAAGACGGACGACCGTTAGACATGCGGAGTAAACGCAACCATTTGAAACTACCTGCCCACTGACCGTCAAACGTCTTCTTCACCGACTCGTACTCAGCATCTGCCAGAGCGGTGGGTGGCTTCGGATCGGCCGAAGGAGCATGGCGTAGCGTCTCGGGGAGGAGGGGCGCTCCAGAGCGTCTGCTGCTTGTATGTAGTTCCTGGGCGCGGTCGTTTGACGGGCGCGGTGCTGACAGTCGAAGGCGAAGCAGTAGGCGGCTTTGACGAGCCCTCGCCACCTCCGGGAACTAAATCTATGTCAGGATGTGGCTCCCACGCCGTGGGTGAGTCTGGTGGCTCGAACGGATAGACCGTTCCTACCACACATTCGGTGACGGCTCACGAGGCGGCAGCTGTGCGATGGGCACGGCGTAGTTCTCGCTAAGGCGTGGTAAGACGCCCAGAACGGAGAGGCCGTTTCTCGCGCCATCAGGTGGATCGGGCTCTCCAGTGGGCATTGTGGAGTTGAACCGTGAGAAGGGTTGAGAATGAGGGCCAAGCGAGAGACCCCCTCGTAGAGAACGACCCTCTGGCAGCCTCGAAAGGGCCGTTTCTTCCACGGGGCGGGCTCTGTTATGGCAGGACTGAGGCTGCAACTTGTTAAGGACAGCTTGAAGCTGTCCTTGACAGCCAATTCTGCTGTGATGGCGGTGGGCGTGGCGACAACTGACGTGGTTCAATAATGTGTTGGCAGTCATGCGCCAGAAACAACCAATGAGGTTTCCATGCGCGTGGTCACAAGCGACAACGGGTGTTTGTGGGGGTGTTGTACGATTTGTCACCACTCGAACTATGGTCTGATTCGCGTTAAAAAAGATTCGGTAACAGGGTAGTGTACACCAAACCCTGATTCCGTCAGGGTAACCTAAAAACCTATCAGGGTGAAATAAAACATGCTCTTTTAAGAGAAGGGTAACTATTGAGCAATCCTGATTTCGGCAGGGTAATCCTGAAAAAGCGGCCGGCCCCCAGGGTAATCAGGGCGTTTTACCCTGATATTTTGGGCCCTGACTCCGACATCAGATGAACCAGTAAAAACGTGTTCAGAATCCAGAAATTCAGACAGAAAAATTATAATAATGTAGGCCCTGATTATGACTATAACATGTACAGCTTACAAACACCACACGAGGAATTCCGAAACACTAGCTACCGTAGCATACTCAAAGCAGCATAACCGTGTCACGGGTAAATTGGCAGAACAAGGTTAGGGCATGATTGTGGTCAGAGCAGGGACCCGGAAGCAGGCCCTCCAGGCCTGTAACCCGGCATGGCACCTGGCATGCCCATGGCACCAGGCATGGCCCCTCCCATGGGCATTCCTCCCTGTGGGGCCCCAGGCATCCCCCCCACGTGCATGGGCATCTGCCCCCCCATGCCCATGCCACCCGGCCCCATGCCGCCTGGGCCCATGCCGCCCGGCCCCATGCTGCCTGGGCCCATGCCGCCCGGCCCCATGCCGCCTGGGACCATGCCGCCCGGCCCCATGCCGCCCGGCCCCATGCCACACGGCATACCCATGCCGCCGCCCATCTGCATGGGAGGAGGCATGCCTGGCCCTGCCATCCCCATGGGTCCAGCCATGCCCATCTCAGGCCCCTGCATGGGCATGCCCCCATACGGCATGGGCGCCATGCCGGCAGCAGCAGGGGGAGGAGCACCCCCCGGAAGCACCATGTGAGGGGCAGCGGGCGAGGGGGCGAGGGCAGTGGGGCCAGGAGGGGAAGAAACAGCAGCAGCAGCAGGGGCACCGGACCAGGGCAGGGCGAGCATTGCGGCTCCCCCTTGCTGCTGCTGGGCGGCCACTGGGGGCGGCTGCAGCCAGGCGGGCGGCAGCTCACTGATGTTGTCGCTGATAAATTCCTTCAGCCTGGGGCGCGGGGCAGGCCGGGGGCACGCAGGAGAGGGCAGGGGGGGGGAGGAAAGGGAAGGGGAGGGAAGGGGAGGGAAGGGAAGGGAAGGGGAGGGAAGGGGAGGGAAGGGAAGGGAAGGGGAGGGAAGGGGCAGGGAAGCACAGGGCAGGCATGCAGGTGAGCGTGGAGGGGTGGCAAAGGAGCCACAAATGAGGTGGCAGGCAGTGAGAACAATGGGGCGGAGAAACAGCAGGTGGGGGGATGAGCAACACGATACAGACTGCATCATTTAACCATCCTTCCCCATGCCCCACATACACCCCTCACCACCCCCAACCCCCTTTCTCCACCCCCTCCACTTCCCCTTCCCTGTCCCCTTCCCTTCCCCCCCCCACCCCCCCCCCCCCTCCCCCCCCATTTGTCCCCGCCCCCCAGGGCAGGCCACGCACGCAGCGGAGGCGGTGGGGTCGGAGGAGGCGCAGGTGAGGCGCAGCTGCGAGCGGTCCGCTGGGTCCGTCTCCAGACGCGCCTGGGGTGGTGAGCGGTGATGGAGGGTGGTAAGGGGTGATGGAGGGTGGTGGAATAGGGTCATTTGCATTCACATCTGTCTGCCTCCCATCCTATTTTTCTACCCTACATGCGTGGTATGCATGTTCGAAAGACTTTAAATTTGGTACGGTTTAAAAATTGTGTGTGTGTATGAATTTGATTTAGCTTGAGCATATATATGAAATGACGTCTCTGTTCAAGAGTTTTCTGACAAGCCAAGAATGGGAAATTTCTGATCGTTCGAAATTATGATTGTGATGCGGCAACAATGGGAATTGGCAGGGAAATTCTACATGGAGCAAATAATTTTCGGGTTGGAAAACTCGTCACTCTACTGTAGTTGCTGCCAAGTGGTTGGGGGAAGCCAAACCAGAACGGCAAATGTGGCCGATTTGGATGAGGCGAATTGCATGGGTTGGAAAAAAAACAAAGATGGTATTCTTCGTTGGGGATCTTATAGGGAAGGGATTTGGTGTGGTCATGGTATTCTTCGTTGGGGACTATCTGGAGACCTTGACTCTCATGTTTTTCATTATCTCTTACCTAGTTTCTTGCTACTCTGATTCTTGCTTAACTGTTGTGATCAAATTAAGATTAAGCTACAGCATACCCTCAGTGCACCGATAATCATATATCTCAAGCTATACTTCACTTTCTAGTACGATTCAGATTAGGAATAACACATGCTTTCTTGAAGAAGTTCGAACGGTGAACTTGTCGTCTTTGGCGTTTCTTGTAAACACGACTTTTATGTCCAGAAACTTAGTTTACGATTTTGGGTTATTTCCGCCCTCCTAAAGTGCCTAGACCCAGTCCTTGATTGTAACAGATGAGGGGTGGTGCGAGGTGATGGGGGATGGTGGGAGATGGTGGGGGTTGGGAGGTGTTAGTGAGGATGGGCTTAGAGGAGGAAAGAGAGGGAGTGGAGTGGAGAGGGGAGCCGAGGAACACCAATGAGAAGAAGGGCAAGCCGAAAAGCAGGAATGCAGGAGGGGAGGCACAGTGAGAGGCAGGAAGGCGTTGGGAGGAGAGCACGGGGGTAGCAGCTTACGAGGAGGAGGGTGGGCGGGGTGGTCTCTGTATGCAACGTGCAGCACGCCACTATGTTGTTGGGGTTTGGGTCCTGGTGCGCCCATGGGGGGAGAGGGGAGCACGGGGGCGAGAGGGACGGGGAAAGGGATGAGAAGAGGGGTGAGTGGGGGAGAGGGTGAGCGAGGATAGAGGGGGATGGGGTGGAAAATGCCAGAAATTGTGAAACGGAGGGGGGGGTGAAAGAGCAAAGGGTTGGTGGTGGAAAGCGGGAGAGGCGGCACGGCGGGTCTGACCAGGTTGGGCAGTGGGTTGATGCGCATGGATGCCAGCAGCTGTGCCAGTGCAGGCAGCGGTAGCGGCTTCACTCCTCTCAGCTGGTGGGGGGAAGGGGCAGATGTGAGGGGGCCATGGGGGGGGAGGATGTGCGAGCGAGTGGGTGAGTTTGGGAGTGACGTGAAGTCGTCCTGTCATGGGGAGAGTGAGTGAGAGGTGAGGAGGTGAGAGGTGGCAGGTAGCGGCATGTGGACGTAACATGCGGTATGCAGCAGCAGCACAATGCAAGAAGCCATGGCATCACGCATGGCATGCATGCACATCACATCCACAGCAACATTCCCAGGAACACACCAGCACCCTCCAGCACATAGCTGCACCCCCCACCGCACAGCAGCAGCAGCACATTGGTTCTAGAGAATTTTGTAGCATGCACCACCACTTGCTGCTTGTGCGGCGGCGCAAAGGGCGTCTTTTAGCGAGCAAAGAAGTCAGCAGAGGACAGCGATGTGGGCCGCAGCGCTCTAGAGGCGACTCAAAGGGCAGCAGTACACCCCACCACCCCCCACCACCCAGCACCCAGCACCACCCCCCAGCACACAGCAGCACGCACCACGACTTGCTGTTTGTGCGGCGGAGCAGAGAGGGTCTTCCAGCGAGCAAAGAAGTCAGCAGAGGACAGCGACGCCGGCAGCAGCGCCTTGCAGAGCGCCACGGGCAGGTGCAGGCGCAGCGGCACGCGCGTGCCCGACGGCAGCTTGTACGCCATGTCCAGGCGCGGCGCCTCCCTGGGTACCAGCACTGCTGCCGCCTCCACTGGTAGCTGGATCTGTCGGGGGCGGGACAGGGGAGGGGGGGGGAAGGAATGGGGCGGAGGAGGGAGGAAGATGATGCTAGGCGAAGGGGTGGAGGGGATGACGGCTGATTGGATGACGGCGGAGGGGTTGAAGGCTGAGGGGTTGAAGGCTGAGGGGTTGAAGGCTGAGGGGTTGGGAGTTGATTTCAAGAGGGATGTTTAGCAGAAAGATGAGGCAATAGCAGAAAGAAGGATCGGCAAGAGCAGCGTGGGGGGTGGGCGAGAGCAGAGAGACGGGGGGAGAGGGAAGCAGAGGAAGGGACTGACCTGGGCGCGGGGGGGGATGACTTGAGGCAGCGGCGAGAGGATGACTCGCAGGCCGGGCGTGGGTGGTGTGGAGGCGGTGAGAGCGGTGAGCGGCGCCGTCTCCTTGTTGCCCAGGAAGAGCACCAGGCGGCCGTGCGGTGGCTTCCACTCACTCTTCACCCCGATCTGCCATGCCATGCACGCGTGGGGTGGACGACCAGCCATGCCAGGCCATGCCATGCACACGTGGATGGCGGGCGGTGCACGGGTGGTGATGGGCAGTCGAAGCGCGGGAGAGCGAGGGGTAGATGGAGAGATGAAGCAAGGTGGTGCAGGGGATGAAGCAAGGAGGTGGGAAGATGGAGCAAGCCGGTGCATTCAGCGAATCGCAGTATTGGGTAAGAAGGGGTAACACGGCATGGTGTGGGTACGAGATGAGTACCTGACATATGCATATCCTACCGTCGTCCCTACCTGCAGCGACGCTCCCCTCTCAGAGGGGGGCTCTCACCTGCAGGTGCGGGTCCTCATACAGCACGCCGCTGTGCTTGCCCATCAGCGCACAAGTGGTTACCGCTGCACACTTGCTAGTATGAATGAGAGCGATCATCTCACCTGCAGGTGCGGGTCCTCATACAGCACGCCGCTGTCCTTGCCCATCAGCGCCCTGAACCACTCCGCCACACTGCCCAGTGGCTGCCACGCAGGGCAGGGTGGGAGGGGGAAAAGGGCGGATGTGGAAGAATGGGAGGGGGGCAGCACTGTCCCGTGCTGTCCTCACACCGGCACTGTGAGGGCATGGCAGAGGCGGATGGAGTGAGAGGGCTGACAGACTGCCCTCCCACTTTCACCAGCCGCTTCCCTTTCCGCTCATCTCTCCTTCCCCTCCGTCGCTCCTTGCCCTTGTGGTTCCTCCCCCATCCTCCACCCACCCCCACACAGGATGCCCCATCCTCCACCCACCCCCACACAGGATGCCCCATCCTCCACCCACCCCCACACAGGACGCAGCATCTGTTTCACTCCACCGCCGCATCTCACTGTAACTGCACAACAACACACCACCTCCGCATCCCGCCGTACCTGCACCACAGCATCCCGCCGTACCTGCACCACAGCATCCCGCCGTACCTGCACCACAGCATCCCACCGTACCTGCACCACAGCATCCCACCGTACCTGCACCACAGCATCCCACCGTACCTGCACCACAGCATCCCGCCGTACCTGCACCACAGCATCCCACCGTACCTGCACCACAGCATCCCACCGTACCTGCACCACAGCATCCCACTGTACCTGCACCACAGCATCCCACTGTACCTGCACCACAGCTGCGGGTGCAGCAGTCTGGTCAAAGAGCGTCAGTGCCATGGCCCCGGCCTCGGCTCCTCCCAAACCACCAGTACCAGCAGCAGCAACAGGACCAGGAGCAGGGGCGGCCGCAGCAGCAGCAGGGGCGTTGGAGGCGGAGGCAGAGGGATCAAGTGAGAGCAGCTCCCCCAGCAGGTCGCCCACAGCGTTGGCAGAGTCCGCAGGCACGAGGGCGAGCTCGTTGCCTGCTGCAGGTGGGGGCGCGGCTGCTGGCTCGTCCACCAGTGAGGTGGGCGGCTGAGCGGGTGCAGGCTGGGTGGTGGACGGGGGTGGCGACGACGAGGTGTCCTGATGGGAAAGGGGGGAAGAAGGGGGGAGGATTGAGAGGACGTGTGGGGGATGTGTGCGGATGAGTTGTGATTGGGAGGAAGCCATAGGTTGGGTTGAGAGGAGGGAAAAGAGCATGAGGGGCGAGGGGTCAGCTATGGCAAGCGGGGAGAGTGGCAGCATGGCAGCACGGCAGCATGGCAGCATGGCAGCACGGCAGCAGGGGCGGGCAACATGATGGATGGAGAGCAGTGGTGCTCACATCAGCAGTGGTGCTCACATCAGCAGTGGTGCTCACATCAGCAGTGGTGCTCACATCTGCAGTGGTGCTCACATCAGCAGTGGTGCTCACATCAGCAGTGGTGCTCACATCAGCAGTGGTGCTCACATCAGCAGTGGTGCTCACATCAGCAGTGGTGCTCATATCTGCAGTAGTGCTCATATCTGCAGTGGTGCTCACATCAGCAGTGGTGCTCACATCAGCAGTGGTGCTCACATCTGCAGTGGTGCTCACATCTGCACTGGTGCTCACATCTGCACTGGTGCTCACATCTGCACTGGTGCTCACATCTGCAGAGGAGGCTGGCTGTGGTCGTCGCACCGGCCCCACACCACCATCAGCAGCAGCGGGGGCAGCAGTGGCGGAAGGGAGCTTGGCGGCAGAGGCAGAGGCGGGGGCGGAGACGGGGACGAGGGCGAGGGCGTTGGCCTGGTGCGCGCGCAGCTTCACTGCGCTCACCTCCGCACTGTCCCCCTCGTTGTCCGGTGCGCGGCGCAGCAGCGAGGACTGGCGGGGGGTGGAGAAGAGAAAGGGGTTCGGGGGGTGGGGGGTTGGCCCTTGAGTGGCCCTGAGAGTCACTGCGCTCACCTCCGCACTGTCGCCCTCGTTGTCTGGCGCACGCCGCAGCAGCAATGACTGCCAGCAGGGAGGGACGTGAGGGGGAGGCGATGCAGTGATGGTGGTGAGAAAGGGACTTGCGTGAGGGTGAGGAGGAGAAAGATGAGTGAAGCTGGTCGACTACCACCACCCAGCACACTCGCCCTTGCTCTCACCCTGCTTCCTCTCGTGTGCCCCTGGAGTACATGTCGCAGTGTGCCCCTGCTCTCCCCTCCACCTCTCTCTCTCACTATCTCCCCCACCCCACCTCCCCCCACCTGGTGCTCAGGGAACTGGGAAATGCCACCAACAATGTCTGCCATGGCAGCACCGCTCTGCATCTCATTCAGCCACACTCTCATAGACCTCTCTGCTCCTCGCACCACTCCTCACCTCCCTCCCACACTCGCCACTCCCCCACACCTCCTCACCCCCCTTCAACCTTCCCCCACCTCGCGCTCAGGATATTTGGGCATGTCGGGTCAGCCATGGCAGGGCTGCCCCTGCATCCCTGTCATGCACACTCCCACAGACCTCCCTTCTCCCCACAGCACTCTTCACCTCCCCCACCTCCCCCCACCTCGCGTTCATTGAACTTGGGCATGTCAGCGACAATATCAGCCATGGCAGGGCCGCCCCTGCACCTCATTCAGCCCGCCCCTGCACCTCATTCAGCCCGCCCCTGCACCTCATTCAGCCCGCCCCTGCACCTCATTCAGCCCGCCCCTGCACCTCATTCAGCCTGCCCCTGCACCTCGTTCAGGCCCACTCATATACACCACCCTGCTCCTCACCCGCTCCTCTCGTCTCTCCCAAACTCGCCACTGTGTGCACCTCCTTTCCACCTCCTCCCCACCTCCTCCCCACCGCCTCCCCACCGCCTCCCCACCTCCTCCCCACCTCCTCCCCACCTCCTTTCCAGCAGGCCTCACCTCGCGCTGAGGGAACTTGGGCATGTCAGCAACGATGTCGGCCATGGCGGGGCCGCCCCTGCGGCACAGAGAGGCGTACTCCACTGCGCGCTGCTGCACCTCCGCGTCCACACTGCTCTCGTAGCTGCACGCACGGGGGAGGGATGGGGCGGGGGCGAGGAAGAGGGAGAGGGAGGAGGTGAGCAGCTAAAAGGGCACAAGACGAGGCACCACAGAGGCACCACAGAGGCACCACAGAGGCACCACAGAGGCACCACAGAGGCACCACAGAGGCACCACAGAGGCACCACAGAGGCACCACAGAGGCACCACAGAGGCACCACAGAGGCACCACAGAGGCACCACAGAGGCACCGCAGAGGCACCGCAGAGGCACACAGCGATGCGTTCTCACTCCTGCACCTCCGCGCCCACACTGCTCTTGTAGCTGCATACGTGATAAGGGGGAGTGGGGGAGGTGAAGGAGGGGTGGGGGGGGAATGGAGGGGGAGAATGCGACAGAGGAGGTGAGGGGGGGCGAAGAGAGCATGACAGCGAGGCGTGCTGCTGCTGCACCTCTGCATCCCCACTGCACCTCTGCATCCCCACTGCCCTCGAAGCTGCAGGGAGAAGGGGGAATAAAAAGGTGGGTGGAGGGGTTGGGGGCAGGGACAATGGCGGGGGATGGGAGCATCAAACAGCGAGGCATACTCCTCTGCCCGCTGCTGCACCACGAAACCACACTGCTCTAGAGGCTGCGGAGAGAAAGGGGGAGGATGGCGTTGGGAGGGACGAGGGTGGGGGAGGAGGTGAGCAGCCAAGAGGGCATGGGATGAGGCTGCTTTTGAGTCGACTCAAAAGGAGGTGAGCAGCCAAGAGGACATGGGATGAGGCTGCTTTTGAGTCGACTTAAAAGGAGGTGAGCAGCCAAGAGGACATGGGATGAGGCTGCTTTTGAGTCAACTCAAAAGGAGGTGAGCAGCCAAGAGGGCATGGGGATGAGGTATCACAAGGGATATACACAGCGAGGCATGGCACCTACGTGCTGCTCACTGCACTTCCCCATTCCCTCACCCACCCAATCCCCCACCCCCAACCCCCCACCCTGACAGCTCACCAAGTGAATATGGCCATGCACTGGCAGTGCAGGCGGGCCTGACTCGATTCAAGTGGCATCGCAACACCACTCACCCCCCCACCCCCCCCACCCCCCCACCCCCCCACCCCCCCACCCCCCCACCCCCCCACCCCCCACCGCATGGCGCCCTTCCCCATTCCCTTACCCAACCCCCCACCCACCCCCCCGGTCCAAGCCAGCCATGTACCGACCGAGTGAAGCTGGCCATGAGGGCGGGGTGGGGGGGTCCCTCACCGAGTGAAGATGGCCATGAGCTTGCCGTGCAGCGCATCGTCGGGCGGCGAGCGCACTGCCAGCTTCACATACGCCGACAGCATGAGCGCGCGCGTGGGGATGCTGCCATGGGGGCCAGCGGTGGTGAGGGTGTAAGAGAAGGGAGGTGGAGGAGCAACGGGGGAAAGGTTGGGGGGCTTGTGGGGGTCGGGTGGGGTTTATAAGGGAGGTGAGGGAGGGAGGTGAGGGAGGGAGGAGTGCAAGAAAGGGTGGTGAGAGTGACAGGGAGATGCACGAGATGGTGTGAGAAGACAAAGAGAAAGTGAGGTACCATCACAGCAAGGTCATCAGCTCATGTGCATATTGAGTTGCGATGAGAAAAAACGAGAGGTGAGAAGGTGGAAGAAGAGGGGAGAAGCGGGGGGGGAAAGGGCGAGGAGAGAAAAGGGGAAGGAAAGGGAGAGGCGAGAGAGTGAGGGGGGGAAAGGAGAGAAGGTAGTGAGTGGAGGGAAAGAGAGTGGAGGGGGGGAGAGGGGGATGGGGGGTTGGTTGGACGCACGAGACGGTGTGGAACACCGTGACGACGATGTTTTTAAGACGTCTCAAAAACACCCTCATTTCAAGAGGGAGGCGGGGCGGGGGGTTGGACACCCTCATTTCAAGAGGGGGGTTGGGGGTGCACGCACGAGACGGTGTGGAACTTGTCGTGCAGCACGGCAAAGACGTCCGCTGCTGTGGAGCCTGGCTGCTGCGGCAACAGATGGCTGAACTCGCCCAATATGTAGCTGCCCACCTGCCACGCACATGCACATGCACACACACATGCATGCATGCGCACACATGCACATTAGAAAATGTGGACATGTACGCTTGTGCACATCACACATGCGCACATCACACATGCGCACATACACACACATGCGCACATCCATTGGACAACACGAAGGGACCAGCATGACCATGGGAAAGGCTTAAAGAAGCCAGAAATTGCAAAACGAGCAGCAACGTGCTGCGAGCTGGCCATCACTCCCACACTGCCCTCACATTCACCACTATTTCTCACCATCACCACTCGTTCTCACCATCACCACTGTTTCTTACCTCACAATGGTCTCATGCAGGCCTCTCACCTTGACCACGGTCGCAAAACGAGCAGCAACTGCCCACCAGTATGTGACTCACCTTGAGCATTGTCTTGTGCATGCCTCTCACCTTCACCATTCCCGCGCACCTTGACCATGGTCTCATGCACGCCTCTCACCTTCACCATGGTCTCATGCAGCCTCTCACCTTCACCATGGTCTCATGCACCGCCGGCTTGCGCATGAGCTTGAGCACTCGCGAGGCAGCATAGGGCTGCAGGTCGTCGTTGTTGGTAACGATCTGCACCACTCTGTACCACACGTCCTCGCTCACGAAGTCGCCTGCTCGCTCCATGAGACACAGAATCACGTCCACGTACCTGATTCGACGAAGGGGAGCGAGGGGATATGGGAAGGAGGGGGGGTTGACTTTTGAGTCGACTTAGAAGTCAACTCCATGAGACACAGAATGACGTCCACGTACCTGCCCGTGGGATACGGGGGCGAGGCGAGGGGACATGGGAAGGAGGGGGGGTTGGGGAAGCAGGGGAAAGCGGAAGAGTGGAATGTGGAATAGAGGGAGGTGGAGGTCGGTGCATGAGGCACGGAGCCACATCCACATACCAGGTGAAGGGCGGCGAGGGGGAGGACGGAGGGAGGGGGAAGAGGGGAAATGGGGGTGGGAAAGCGAGGGGTGGGAGATGGGAGAGGAAAGGGTGTGAAGGAGCAGAGGCGGATCGATGGGAGGTGCTTATCACCCTGTGCATCCCACCCCACCTCCCCCATTTCTCCCTCCTCTCCACCCACCAGGGCAGCTCCTGTTAGATTATACTACTCTTCTGTATCCTGCATTGATCCTATAAACCCTAGGATAGAGATAGGCACCCAAACTATGTTTGGGTGCACAACTAGGGTTAACCCTAGTTGGGGGTTGGAACCCAACCTTGGTCCAATTATTGGCCTCCAAGGTTGGGTTGGGAGATTATTGGCCCCCCCCAATAATGTTGGCCCACCTTTGGCCAACATTATTGGGACCCCCCAATAATTCTCCAACCCAACTTATTGGTGGGGGGCCAATAATGTTGGCTAGGTAACCAACCAACCCCCCCTCCCCTAGCTTCCACTATGTAAACCCTCATGATTCCTAATCAAGTCAATGGTTCAATTCTAACATGCTATCAGAGCTCTTACGGCTAACGCCGCTCAAGATCCTAGGACCCCTCGCGCCACTTAGCGCACCTCTCGCCGGCTCTGCCGCACCTCTCTCGCCACTTAGCGCACCTCTCGCGCCACTTAGCGCACCTCTCGCGCCACTTAGCGCACCTCTCCCCGGTTCTGCCGCGTCTCTCGCGCCACTTAAGCGCACCTCTCCCCGGCTCTGCCGCGCCCCTCGCGCTACTTAGCGCACGTCCGCCGGCTCTGCCGTGCCCCTCGCGCCATCTCGGCGCTCCTCTCCTCGCCTCGACCGTCCGCCGCGACGAACGCGACCGTCAGCCGCGGACGCGACGAACGCGGCCGTCAGCCGCGGACGCGACGAACGCGGCCGTCAGCCGCGGACGCGACGAACGCGGCCGTCAGCCGCGGACGCGACGAACGCGGCCGTCAGCCGCGGACGCGACGAACGCGGCCGTCAGCCGCGGACGCGACGAACGCGGCCGTCAGCCGCGGACGCGACGAACGCGGCCGTCAGCCGCGGACGCGACGAACGCGGACAGCCGCCGCGGACGCGACGAACGCGGACAGCCGCCGCGGACGCGACGAACGCGGACAGCCGCCGCGAACGGGGTGAGCGCGGGCAGCCGCCGCGGACGCGACATCCGCGGACAGCTGCCGCGGACGGGGCGAACGTGGGCAGCCGCCGCGGACGCGACATCCGCGGACAGCCGCCGCGGACGGGACGAACGCGGGCAGCCGCCGCGGACGCGACATCTGCGGACAGCCGCCGCGGACGGGACGAACGCGGGCAGCCGCCGCGGACGCGACATCCGCGGACAGCCGCCGCGGACGGGACGAACGCGGGCAGCTGCTGTGGACGCAGGCAGCAGCCGCGACCGCGACCAGACGGGGGAGTAACCAGCTGCGGACAGCACGCAGCTCATCTCCACCACTGACCGCGCCGTCCCTCCGGACAGCGTCGTCACCTCTAGCACCTCCACCCTCCCCTCCTCCCTCCCTCCCTCACTCGTCATGGCGGACGAACCTTCGTCGCTTGAGCTCGCCTCAATAGACAAACTCGAGCTCCTCAACGGCACCACCGCAGTCAATTGGGTGTCGTTTGAAGAGAGCCTCTTCACGTACCTTGGCTCCGTTCGAGTGGGAGATTATTGCCTCCTTGACGTCGTCCTCGAAACGCCTCACGGCCTCCCTCCCACCCCGCCACCGCTCCCAGGCTCCTCCCCCCCTGACGCCCCACCACTCCCGACCGAACCCGCCCCTCAAGCCCCCATCCTAGGGGCTTGGGAGGATGACCCAGACAGGTGGGCTCGCACCCTCAACAAGTACAACAAGGAGCGGGACGACTATGTCATCAAGAGCAGAGCACACGCGGCTGCCGTCGCCGCTCACGAAGCTGCTACTGCAAAGCTTGCAGATTTTCAAGCCACCTCCGAAGCATACTCTACTAACCTTCGTAAGCACCACTCCAATACTGCTGCATGGCGCATTGCTGACCGCCGTGCACTCACTGTCATCTTCTCGTGCATTCCCTCCTCTCTTAAACGTGACCTTCGCCCTCCATCCTCCCCCTCTCTCTGGAAGTCTCTCTCCTCTCAATATGATCGTCAGGACTTACGTTCCCTCCTCTCCCTCTTTCGCACCTTCCAAGACATCACCCTTGACTCCTCCCTCAATGCCGCCTCCTTCGCTCGGCGTCTCACGGATACTGCGCAACGCCTCAATGATCGAGGCATCTTGATCTCAGGCACCCTTCTTACAGCACGCATCTTTGACAGCCTCCCACCAACCTATGACACTTACCGCATCAACTTCACCTCCCAGCACATTCGTCCTCCTCCTGTGGCTGTTACCATCGACTGGCTCCTTGACAGTGAGGCTGACCTCCTACGTGACTCTGCAACGGTCAATGCAGTCCACGCTCGCAAAGGAACCACTAACGCCGGCGGAAGCAGCAGCAGTGGACCTGGACGTGGCTCAAACGGAGGTGGTCGAGGAGGCGGTCGCAGAGGCGGACGAGGAGGGCGAACTGGGGAACGCGGCGGACGTGGAGCAACTACTCCATCCACAAGTGGGTTTCCCCCGTGCCAGTACGTCATTCGTCAAGGCCCCAACAAAGGTCAGTCCTGCAACCAGACCACTCACCCAACTGAAACGTGCTTCAAAGCCCTCACTGATGAATGGCTTGCACGCGGCAACACAGGCCCCCCTCCACGTTGGAACACCATCACCCCTCGCCCCACCCCTCATGACATTCGCACTCTCTCCACCTATGCTCCCTCTCCACCTAACCTCCATAATGTCCTCGCTCAGCACCTCTCCCCTCACGTCCTCCAGCAAGTCCAACACCTTCTCCCCACACCCACCACCACCCCCACGCCCTCCATCCCCACCACTCCGCCTCCACCCACGCCCCCACCTCAAACCCCTCCCTCCCCCTATCCTCCTCTCTATCCTTCTCCTTATGCCGGCTGGCCCTACCCTCCCTACCCCCCATCTATGTATGGCCATGGAACTGCCGCAACTGCTCCAACTGCCGCAGCTGCTGAACAACCCACCTCCTCCTCTCACCCCCCCGGCTTCACACCGTTTCCTTCCACGGGCTTCATAGGTCATGTCACTACTGCTAGCTCTTGCAATGATCCTATGTATGCCAATGCTATTAATGAGTCCTCATTCCAGTACTCCGTGTCCTCCTCCTCCTCTCAGCCCCTTGAGTTCATCCTTGACAGCGGTGCCACACACACGGTCTTTCGTGATGCAGGCACGCTCCTCCCCCTCTCCACCCCCTCCACAATCTATGGGGCTGACTCAAGCTTTGCCATACAAAGTCGTCACACCTCCACACTCCCCTGTCCCCTCTTTCCCTCAGGTACCGTCACAGGTCTCTATATCCCCTCCCTTCGTAACAACCTGGTATCCCTTGGTGCCCTCTCAACAGCAGGTGTCACCGCCCTATTCCCTGGTCACGCAGCATATTGTGACTTATTTCACACCTCCTCCGGTCGCTTCCTCTGCCGTGTCCATCGGTGCCCCTCCACCCACATGTACACCTTCCGCATCCCCCGTCCCACCCTTCACCAACTCTCCACAGCCCATCCCCCCGCCCCTTCCCCTCCTCTTGAACCTCCCGCCCCCCCTCCCACTCCCCCATTTCTCCCTCCTCTCCACCCACCAGGGCAGCTCCTGTTAGATTATACTACTCTTCTGTATCCTGCATTGATCCTATAAACCCTAGGATAGAGATAGGCACCCAAACTATGTTTGGGTGCACAACTAGGGTTAACCCTAGTTGGGGGTTGGAACCCAACCTTGGTCCAATTATTGGCCTCCAAGGTTGGGTTGGGAGATTATTGGCCCCCCCCAATAATGTTGGCCCACCTTTGGCCAACATTATTGGGACCCCCCAATAATTCTCCAACCCAACTTATTGGTGGGGGGCCAATAATGTTGGCTAGGTAACCAACCAACCCCCTCTCCCCTAACTTCCACTATGTAAACCCTCATGATTCCTAATCAAGTCAATGGTTCAATTCTAACAGCTCCCCCGCGTCCCCCTCTGCACCCACCAAGGCAGGTCGACTGCGAATCTCTCTGCAAGGATGGAGGTCTTGAGGGTCACCTCCTCGCGCATCACAAAGTTCTGCAGCAGCTGCCCCGCTCTACACCCACCAGGGATAAAACAGCCTTCCCCTCCCCCCGCCCTTCTCTCTCACCAGGGCAGGTCGACTGCGAATTTCTCTGCCAGGATGGCGGTCTTGAGGGTCAGTTCCTCGCGCATCACAAAGTCCGCCACCGTCAGGTACTGCCGTGGGGAAGGGCCAAGGGGGAGGCGGGGGTGGGGGTTTTGAGGCGCCTCAAACATCGTCTCAAATCAGAATGATGGCGGTCTTGAGGGTGAGCTCCTCCTCGCACATCCCAAAGTCTACCACCATCGGGTACTGCCGTGCCGTCGCCAGGGGTGCGTGGAAGAGGCGGAGGGGGGGGGGGAGAGAGGGGGGGGGGAAGGGAAGAAGGGGAGGGAAGGGAAATGGGGGGCAAAGGCAGAGTGGAGAGAGGAAGGGCGGTGGGCAGGAGAAGCGAGAAAAGGCAGAGTGGAGAGAGGAAGGGCGGTGGGCAGGAGAAGCGAGAAAAGGCAGAGTGGAGAGAGGAAGGGCGGTGGGCAGGAGAAGCGAGAAAAGGCAGAGTGGAGAGAGGAAGGGCGGTGGGCAGGAGAAGCGAGAAAAGGCAGAGTGGAGAGAGGAAGGGCGGTGGGCAGGAGAAGTGAGAAAAGGCAGAGCGCCCACCTGCACTGCACACAGACTAATGTTGCTAGCAAGAGGAAACATGTGGGGGGGCGTCAAGTGCAGCACTAAATCTATAGAGGAACGTAAAAAACAGAACCCTCACCTGCAGCAGCTGCGCCCCTCACCCCTCATCTCACCTGACGGGGCCAGCATGCTCAAGCCTACTCACCTGCAGCAGCCCCTCACACTCACCTGCAGCAGCCCCTCACACTCACCTGCAGCAGCCCCTCACTCACCTGCAGCAGCCCCTCACACTCACCTGCAGCAGCCCCTCACTCACCTGCAGCAGCCCCTCACTCACCTGCAGCAGCCCCTCACTCACCTGCAGCAGCCCCTCACACTCACCTGCAGCAGCCCCTCACTCACCTGCAGCAGCCCCTCACTCACCTGCAGCAGCCCCTCACTCACCTGCAGCAGCCCCTCACTCACCTGCAGCAGCCCCTCACTCACCTGCAGCAGCCCCTCCCTTGAAGAATACCGACCTGCAGCAGCTGCTCGACGATGAACTTGGCATTGTCGGTGTCGCACAGCCCGTACAGCAGGTCCAGCGCGCGCCGCCGAATGCTGGGGGAGACGCACGCAAGGGCAGACAAGGGCAGGCAAGGGGAGAAGGGAGGAAAGGATGGGGGGCATAGCATTTGGCGTTGTCAATATCGCATGGCCTGTGGATGTCGCATAGCCTGTGAAGCACATGAGGGGCTCGAGGGTGAATGCTGGGAGGAGGGGATGGCAGGAAGGGGTGGAGGGGAGAAAACGAGACCATGGCATGTGCTAGGGGATGTGCATCATAGCACCATGCGCTGCGCATCACGTATGAGCATGGTTCCCCCGTACCTGATATCGGGGTCCTTGAGGGAGTGCACCTGATATCGGGGTCCTTGAGGGAGTGCACCTGATATCGGGGTCCTTGAGGGAGTGCACCTGATATCGGGGTCCTTGAGGGAGTGCACCTGATATCGGGGTCCTTGAGGGAGTGCACCTGATATCGGGGTCCTTGAGGGAGTGCACGATCTGGCTCTGGAAGCCCCTGATGTCATCCTGCACGTCTGCCACCATCAACATGCGCGCCATGTTCTCCTGCTCCCACACTCACGCCATGCCACGTCATGCCATGCCCACATGCCATGCCCACATGCCATCCCATGCCATTCCATGTCGTCCCATGCCATTCCATGTCGTCCCATGCCATTCCATGTCATCCCATGCCATTCCATGTCGTCCCATGCCATTCCATGTCGTCCCATGCCATTCCATTCCATGTCGTCCCATGCCATACCATGTCATCCCATGCCATTCCATGTCGTCCCATGCCATTCCATGTCGTCCCATGCCATCACGTATCAACTCATCCCAACACATACCATCACGACGAGGCAAGATCAGGAGTTGTGAGCATAGATCCAAGACATGTGAGCGTAGATCCAAGACATGTGAGCATAGATCCAAGACATGTGAGCATAGATCCAAGACATGTGAGTATAGATCCAAGACATGACGTGGAAGTGGCAGCCACCTAGTCAGCCCTCACATGAGTGCCAACGTGGAAGTGGCAACGAGCCGTCCTAAAAGAGCAGTGCGCTCATGACTCACGAGGTTGGGTTACCCAGTTACCGGATGTTGACCTCCCTCCCACGCGAGCCCATGAGCTTCCCCAGCAGCAGCACCACTGCGTTGCGCTACTGTGCATGGCATCGTGACCAGCACCTAGTCAGTCAGCCGCCCTCATCGTGCAGTCAGTGCGGTGCAGCATGGTGCAGTGCAGTGAGCAGTGCAGCGAGCAGTGAGGCATGGATGGTGCGTGGTGTGGCTAGCGGATGTTGGGCTCGCGCACGCCCACGAACTTGCTTTGAGAAGTCTCAAGCACTTGTTTTACTCACGAGGGCGAGGTAGCGGATGTTGGGCTCCCTCACGCCCACGAACTTGCCCAGCAGCCCCACGCAGTGCTGCATCACCTCCCTCTCCGCATCCATGTGCATCGCCTGGCAGGGGCGGGGAGGGTGGGGGGGTGAGGGGGGGATGGTTAGCGGATATGTGTGAACCAGCAGCAGTGCGCCATCACCTCCCTCTCTGCGTCCATGTGAATTGCCTGGCGGCCCGGCCTTGCGCAGAGAGAGGCACGGGTGGGTGGGGGGGAGGGGGGAGTGGCAGAGTGAGGGAGGGCAGCTGTTGGGCACACATAGAGGTGACGTGAGTGGAGTGGCACGAGGTGGACTTGAGGGCAATAGGAGGAAAAGAAGGAAGGGCAGAGGGAGGGTTTGTAGGGGAGCACTGGAGGGCCGTACCAGCGCAAGGAGGGCCGTACCAGCGCAAGGAGGGCCGTACCAGCGCAAGGAGGGCCGTACCAGCGCAAGGGCTTCAAAGAGGATGGCGTGGGCGGCGTTGTTCTTGTTGACATTCTTCACCACCTCCGTGCCCTGCAGTATGCGCGCCAGCACCTGATGCCATGCCATGCCATGAGGGGGGGGGGGGGGGGGGGGGAGCATGTACGGTGCACGGTAACAAGGGCGGACATGAGGGAATGAGGGGGCGTGGGGACGACATGAGGCACACGCTAGTCCTGAACATCCCTGCCCTGTAGCAGCATGGTGCGGACGGTGCGTAGGTGGGATTGTACGGGGAGGGGATGGTGGCATGGCATGCCATTCAGCGTGCACTCGACCGCACAATCTAGCATTCTCAAACCTTCTCAAGTAGGAGCCATGCAAGACTTGTTGATTGGAGAGAAGAAACGAAGAGGGCAGAGGCGAGGAGGAGATGGAGCAACATAACAGACCTCGAGCAACACAACAGACCTCGAGCAGCGACTTGCGGATGGAGGGGTCTTCGATGGACGGGAAGTACTGCAGCACCCGCATCGTCTTCACCTGCCGCCCGCTCCCCAGAGGCACATTGTCGGTCGGGGGAGGAGGGGAAGAGGGTGAAGGGGGAAGGAAGGGTTTGAGTCGGCTCGAAACTCGTCTTTGATGGAGGGAAAGTACTGAAGTACCTTCACCTGGGGGCCAGCAGCACAGGGGGGCATGTGTTGAGGGGGGAGGCGGGTGTGTGGGGAGAGAAGCGGATGGACGGAAAGGGGGATGGAGGAACAATGAGAACGAGGGGATGGCACAGCACACACAGCAAGTCGCACACACCTGCAGCCAGGGAGATGGAATGGCGTAGTAGGTGTAGTCCTGCGGGATGTCCACACATTTGGCGAGGCGCTCCAACACCTTGACGCACTTGGGCACACAGCACAGGTACGCCTCCGGGTTTGCTGCCACGAGCGCCACGAGCAGCGACATGGTTGCCAGGAGCACGCTCAGACTGCGCTCCTCCAGCAGACTCGCCATGCGCTGTGGCCTGCAGCAGGGGGGGAGGATGGGCAGGGGGGGGGGGTAATGCGCTGTGGTCTGGGAAATGGGGATGAGAAGAGGCAGGGGGGGATCATGCGCTGCACAATGGGTGGCAATGGGTATGGGGGGTTGGCAAGGCATGCCAATGGTGCACTGGGAGGAGATGTCGATGGAAGATGCTGCACCTGGAACTCACCACGTGCCGTTGCTTGTGATGTCGGGCTTCTTGCGCAAGAGCCTCAGCAGGCGACTGTTGGGGCGGTCCAAACATACACTGCTGCGAGGCGAGCCCCCACTCACCACGTGTCGGTGCTGCTGCTGATGTCACTCACCGCGTGTCGGTGCTGATGATGACGTCACTCGCCACGTGTCTGTGCTGATGATGACGTCACTCACCACGTGTCTGTGCTGATGATGATGACGTCACTCACCACGTGTCGGTGCTGATGATGACGTCACTCACCACATGTCGGTGCTGATGATGACGTCACTCACCATGTGTCGGTGCTGATGATGACGTCACTCACCACGTGTCGGTGCTGATGATGACGTCACTCGCCACGTGTCAGTGCTGATGATGACGTCACTCACCACGTGTCGGTGCTGATGATGACGTCACTCACCATGTGTCAGTGCTGATGATGTCGGGGTTCTTGCGGAAGAGCCTCAGCAGGCACAGCGCTGCCTTCTTCTTCACCAGCGGCCGCACTGAGCTCGACAGCTGCCAATGCGCGCAGGGGGGCAAGGGGGGCAAGGGGAGCAAGGGGGGGCAAGGGGGGGCAAGGCAAGCCTGAGCAGGCACAGCGATGCTTTTTTCTTCACCAGCGGCCGCGCTGAGCTCGACAGCTGCCAGTGAGCGGAGGGGGGCAAGCCCAGCAGGCCGGATTGGAGATGAGGGAGGGGGGGGTGGGGGGATGAATCCTAAAAGGGGGGTGGGGAAATGAATTCAGAAAGGGGGTTGGGGAAATGAATCCAGAGGGGGGGGTGGGGGAATGAATCCAGAGGGGGGGTGGGGAAATGAATCCAGAGGGGAGGGGATGGGGGAATGAATCCAGAGGGGGGGGTGGGGAAATGAATCCAGAGGGGAGGGGATGGGGGAATGAATCCAGAGGGGGGGGTGGGGAAATGAATCCAGAGGGGAGGGGATGGGGGAATGAATCCAGAGGGGGGGGTGGGGAAATGAATCCAGAGGGGAGGGGATGGGGGAATGAATCCAGAGGCGGGGGTGGGGAAATGAATCCAGAGGGGAGGGGGTGGGGGAATGAATCAAGAGGGGGGGGTGGGGAAATGAATCCAGAGGATGAAAAGGGGAGGAGAGGCAGGAAAGGGCTGGGGGAGGGCGCGCAGTGTATGGCTATGTTGGAATTGACGCTCTGGAGGGGTTGCGTCAAGCGTTTTGACGCTAGCGTTTTGACGCAAAACGCTTGATGCGCGTTTTGACGCTTGACGCTGGTAAAAAAAAATTCGGGCAGCCCGAAATCGTGCGGAAAAAAAATCATTCGCGACTTAGCTTCGAAATCGCGACTTCGCTTCAAAATCGTGACTTCGAATGTCAAGTCGACATTGAACGCCCCTCACAAAACAGAAACACAAAAACATCCCCCACACCACATTGTACCGCAATGCAACTAGAAGATCCAAACAACTGAAGTTGACAAAAATCAGTCACGCCAATCCAGGTCGTCACTCTCTGCTTTGCAAGCTACTACTCGACATAAATTAGGGTTAGATCGACTATCATGTTCCTACGGAGTTAGATCGCCGTTCCACTCCTATTACCCCTTAACTTTCGCCTTGCCACTCCCCTCCCTCCCCCCTTATACTTTTCTATTGCTGCCCGAAAGTATTTTTTGCTGCCCGCCAGAGCGTCAAAACTGCGTCAAAAGAATCAGGATTGTGCGTCAAGCGTCCAGACGCTACCGTTTTGACGCTAGCGTCAAAGACGCTTGACGCGTCAATTCCAACATAGGTGTATGGGAGTGCAATGAAAGGAGGGGGGGAGGAGGCGGGAGTGAATAGGACGGAGGAAAAGTTGAGCAAAGCAGGTGTGGTGTGAGTAAGACATAGCGCACAGTATGTATGCCTCTGCGCCACACACAAGCAGCCACATGGGGCGGGGCACCTGCAAAACCTTCCCTGCCCTACCGAACTTGCACCCTCCCTCACCACCCCTGCCCCAGCATGATCCATCCCGCCCCATCCTTGCTCCCCCACTTCTCGCCCCAGCCCACGATCCCATCCTGCCCAACCGCATCCTCATCCCCCCTCCTCCTCGCCTTCCCTACCAGCAGCTTCTGCACGTCAGGGGCGACGGACTCTGAGAACTCCTTCCCCCCGATGTTGCCCACCTGCCACGGCGGGGAAAGGGGGGGGGAGGGAGGAAAGCAGGGGGGAGGAGGCAGAGGTTGAGGGAAGGGGAGGAGGTGGCAGGGGAAGAAGGGGAAGGGAGGAGGGTGTTATAAATGTATATTATATACAACATACATAGGCTAGAATAGGTGTAGTGTAGTCATTTATGTTCTTGGGGGGTTGGGTGTACACTCCAACCACACTTTGTGGTTGGTCAAGATGGGATTTGGTCATGGTCCTTGGTTGGCACTTGCCAACTTTTGGTCCTTAGGCCAAACCAATCCCAACCTAGCCACATTGTGAGGTTTCCTACTCCACAAGGCACCTCACTCATTGGCCAACTTAGTGGCCAATAGGGTTAGCTCCTCCTCCACTCTTCTCTTCCTTGCATGCTTGTATTATAGAGCCTTGGTGGCTCATTACTGAATACACTCATGAATTCTATCACGGTATCCAGAGCCAAATGGCTCACGCCGTCCTCTCTCGATCCTTAGACTGTTTGTTACTCCCCGCTCCTCTACCCTAGCGGATTATGACATACATCCGCGCTCCCGCACCTCAGATCTAGCCTTCCGCGGCTCAGTACCGCCCTCCCGCACCTCAAATCTAGCCTTCCGCGGCTCAGTACCGCCCTCCCGCACCTCAGATCTAGCCTTCCGCGGCTCAGTACCGCCCTCCCGCACCTCAGATCTAGCCTTCCGCGGCTCAGACCTACTCCTCCGCGGCCTCAATCCTCCCTCCCGCGGCCTCAATCCTCCCTCCCGCGGCCTCAATCCTCCCTCCCGCGGCCTCAATCCTCCCTCCCGCGGCCTCAATCCTTCCTCCCGCGACCCTAATCCTCCTTCCCGCGGCTCTGCCCGCCGTCGCGGACGACCGACGCGCCGTCGCGGACGACCTACGCGCCGACGCGGACGGTCAGCGTGCGGCCACCAGCGACCTACGCGCCGACGCGGACGGTCAGCGCGCTGTCGCCAGCGACCTGCGCGCCGACGCAGCCGGCCAGCGCGCAACCACCGACGACCCGCGCGCTGACGCGGATGGACAGCGCGTGACCGCCGACGACCCGTGCGCTGACGCGGACGGCCAGCGCGTGACCGCCCGAGCCGCGCGCTGACGCAGACGGCCAGCGCGCGACCGCCGACGAGCCGCGTGCTGACGCGGCCGGCCAGCGCGCGGCCACGAACGAACCGCGCGCCGACGCGGACGGCCAGCGCGCGGACGCCGACGGCCCTGCGCCGACGCGGACAGCTGGCGCGGAGCCGCGGCTGACCTGCGCGCCGTCGCGTTCGGCTGCCCGCGATCTCCACGACCCCGCAACCCTAATCCTCCCTCCCCCCCCCCCTATCCTGCCCCACACTCGCGCGCCTCCCTACACTTCCGCACCAGCCTCTCTTCCCCCCCCCCCTGCCTCCTCCCCCTACTCCACCCTTAACGGCACCAGCAGCAGCAACAGCGGCGGCACCAGCAGCAGCAGCGGCGGCACCAGCAGCAGCACCGGCGGCGGCAGCAGCGGCGGCAGTAGCAGCAGCAGCATCGGCGGCGGCAGCAGCAGCAGCATCGGCGGCGGCAGCAGCAGCGGCATCGGCGGCGGCAGCAGCAGCGGCAGCAGCAGCGGCACCGGTAGCGGCAGCAGCAGCGGCACCAGCACCAACAGCAGCGGCATCAGCAGCGGCGCCTTCACCACTCCGCCGTCATGGCGTCGTCGGACTCATCGGTCGATCTAGCGACCATTGACGCTCTCGAGCTGCTGGGCGACAACTCGGCCGCCAACTGGCACTCCTATGCTCACTCCATCGAGGTGTTGCTCTCCTCGGTCATCGTCAGCGGATATACCCTTCGCTCCGTCGTGTTCCAGGAGGAGGGTGGACTCCAGCCCATCGCCCCTTCCGCCCCCACTGGACCTGCTCCCGATGAGCCCGGACCCGAGCCCGAGCCTCCTGGTGATCCCCCCTCCTTCGCGCCGGATGTTCACAACCCACAAAGCGTGGAGTCTGCCATTCGTGCCTATCGCACCTCACTTAACGACCACCTTCGCCGCCAACTGCGCTACGACGATGACAAGCGCATCTACGACAGTGCTGCTGCCCGCCACCGTGAATACCAAGCCCAGTTCGCCACTTACACTACACGCCTCGCCACCTACACCACTGATATCGCAGCGTGGCGCGTTGCTGATCGTCGCGCCCTTGCTATCCTCCTCGCCACCATCCCCTCCTCCCTCAAACGAGAGCTCTCCCCCACCTCCTCCTCCCATCTGTGGCAGCTGTTAGTCGACCTCTTTGACCGACAGGACATCGCCACTCTCTATGCACTCATTAAGGAATTCGGATCCATCACCATGGATTCCACCGCCGGCGCAGCTGCCTTTACTCGCCGAGTCCTTGACCTCGCTCGCCGCCTTGCAGCGCTCGGTGTTGTCTACCCTGACACCGTCATCTGCTGCCACCTTCTCGAGGGTCTCACTCCTGCCTTCGATGCCCATAAGCTGGCATACATGCAGCTCCTCTCCAAGCATGACACTCCCGCTCAAGTTGCGCAATGGATCATCACCACTGAAGCTGAAATCCTGCGCCACTCCTCCTCCACTGCCGCAGCGGCACAGCAGCGCAGCAGCAAAAGCAGGCATGGGGGGGGGCGTGGAGGTGGGCGTGGTGGTGGTCGAGGCGGCTCTGGCGGTCGTGGTGGTGCGGGTCGTGGTGCAGCAGCGGCCTTCCCACCCTGTCAGTATCTTCCCCTCTATGGCCCCACCCGAGGCCAACGCTGCAATCAAACCACTCATGTGACTGAGACGTGCTTCAAGGCACTCAGCGATGAGTGGTTCGCTCGTGGGAACCCTAGCACCCCTCCTCGCTGGTCCGCCCTCAACCCCCGCCCCACTCCCCTGGATGTCCGCACCTCCCCCCTTTACGCCCCTTCCTCCTCCTCCCAGGCCCACCAGGCCTTTGCTCTCCCCTCTCACCAGCAGCAGCAGCAGCAGCAGCAGCAGCACCAGAGTGTCCAGCAGCAGGGGCCGCAGCAGTACGGACAGCAGCTTTATCAGCTCCAGCAGCAGCTTCAGCAGCTCCAGCAGCAGCTCGACCTCCAGCCCCAGCTTCCTCTCCTCCCTCCTCCTCCTGTCCCCCAGCAGCAGCCGTTCCCCAGCTGGACTGCCGGGAATGCGGCCTCCGCGGCCCACCTCTCCGGTCCATCCCCTGCGCCGTCTACAGGTGGCAGTGTGACCCCCTTTCCCTCCTTTGGCTTTATTGGTATGCTTAGTCAGCCTCCTTCTGTTGCATCCCCTATGTATGCCCCTGCTATTAATGAAACTTCAATTCAGTACTCCGCCTCACCCTCCTCCACCCTTGAGTTCGTCTTGGACAGTGGAGCCACTGACAATGTCTTTCGCGATGCCGGCAAACTCCATCCTCTCCCCACACCCACGTCCCTCCTCGGCGCTGATAGCAGCTTTTCCATCCCCTGTCACAACACGTCCACCCTTCCCCGTCCTCTCTTTCCCTCAGGTACGGTCACAAGTCTTCACATTCCCTCCCTTCGCACCAACCTCCTCTCCCAAAGGTCCCTCCAACAATCCATGATCACCACTGTCACCCCAGGTGGTGCTAACCATTGTGACCTTTACCAAACCTCCACAGGTCGCTTCCTCTCCCGCATTCCCTATTGTCCCCGCTCCCGTCTGTACACCCTTCGGGTTCCTCGCCCCCTCACCTTCCAAGTTGCCTTCCCCACCCTCCTTCCCCCCCCTCCCCCCCTCCCTCCCACTAACCCACCCGTCCCCCCCCGCCCCCCTGACTCTGACTGCTCATGTCGCTCCCTCTCCCACCCTGCCATCCTCCTCCATCACAGGCTAGGTCACCCCAACTTCGCCACTCTGCGCTCCTCTGTATCCTCCGGTCTCCTCCACGGTCTCCCCTCCTCCCTCCCTCCCCTCCCAAAGTCCCCTGCCCCCCCTTGCGTCGTCTGTGTTCAGAGCAAGCTCAAGCAGCAGCCGCACCGGAGCTCCCCCTCCGCTGCTGCCCAGCCACTTGATCTTGTTCACATGGACCTCTGGGGCCCTAACCCCTCCCCCACACGCCAAGGCCATCGCTACCTTCTCGTGCTCGTCGATGACCACAGTCGGTACTCGTCCGTCTCTCTCCTTCGGACGAAGGCGGACGCCCCGACTGCGATCATTGCCTGGCTCGAACAGGCAAACAGTCATTTATGTTCTTGGGGGGTTGGGTGTACACTCCAACCACACTTTGTGGTTGGTCAAGATGGGATTTGGTCATGGTCCTTGGTTGGCACTTGCCAACTTTTGGTCCTTAGGCCAAACCAATCCCAACCTAGCCACATTGTGAGGTTTCCTACTCCACAAGGCACCTCACTCATTGGCCAACTTAGTGGCCAATAGGGTTAGCTCCTCCTCCACTCTTCTCTTCCTTGCATGCTTGTATTATAGAGCCTTGGTGGCTCATTACTGAATACACTCTTGAATTCTATCAGAGAGGTGGCAGGGGTGGGCTGGGAACCGGAGGAGAGCTTGGGGGGGGGGGGGTGGGGGGGGGGGGGGGGTTGAAATACGCGGAGAGAACTGAGAGATGGAAGGGCGGAAAAGAGGTTTTGGGTGGTTCAGGCGGGCTCTGAAGACAGCTGGAAGGGCAGAACAGGAGGGAGGGAGAATGAAAGCGAGGGCGGGAGAGGACGAAGCTGATGGGGCAGAGGATGCGTAGGGGAAGGGACGGAGGCATGTCATGGTGAGGGCGGGGCAGTGGGAGGGGCATTAGCATGGTGAGAGCATGGGAGTGGGAATATGTGGGATAAAGAAGCGAGCGCAGGCAGTGCCATGGGGAGGGCGAGGCATACCATGGTGAGGGCGAGGCATACCATGGTGAGGGCGAGGCATACCATGGTGAGGGCTAGGCATACCATGGTGAGGGCGAGGCATACCATGGTGAGGGCGAGGCATACCATGGTGAGGGCGAGGCATACCATGGTGAGGGCGAGGCATACCATGGTGAGG